ATATTTTGAATGTGGTATTTATATATATATATATATATATATATATATATATATATATATATACATGTATATATATATACATATACATGTATATATATATACATATACATGTATATATATACATATACATGTATATATATACATATACATGTATATATATATACATATATATATATATATATATATCTATATATATATATATACATACGTAAAGAGATGTTGCCTTTTCGATTTTAGGAAAGCGTTTTGAAAACATAGACCTGCCTGAAGTGAAGGAGAAGCGAACTAAACCAAGTTGCAAAGACAAGTGTGGCGGTGAGGATTTGATTTGTATGCTTTCGTGGCTGAAATTAGGAATGTGTACATTTTAAAGACAGTTTGCGAAAATTTGTAAGTTGTATTTGCAATTTAAACTGTAGCATAAGTAGTTCATATATTCATGTTTATGATACACATCTAAAAAGAAATAATCATTATCACTATCATCATCATAGCCATGATCATCACTATCATCATATCAACATCACCATCACCATTAAAATCAACATCATAATCATCATCATTATTATACGATTATTATTATTACGATCATTATCATCATAATCATCATATCATTATCATTATTATATTCATAACATAATCATTATATAATCATTATCATCATCATCATTATTATCATCATCTCAAAATCATTATCAGTCTATTCTGATTATATTTTATGAAGTTATCACGGCTTTCTTTGAAAACTCATCGCGTCTTGCTTCATTTCTGAAAAGCATTAAAACAACCTAAAATTTAAGCCATGATCTAGAGGGGGCTGGATATGATGTTGAAATGAATTCTCTATTAAGCAATTGTCAAGTACTTATGACACTATAGAAAACACCCCATAACAAACAGCTTTGTGATTTTTTTGTTTTGTTTTTTGTTTGCTTACGAGTACAAACGGGAGTGGATTGAGAGGGTGGCCGTACCGGTCCCGCCCCCTCCCCATTTTGAAAAAAAAAAAAAAAATGGAATACGAAAAAAACAAATTGATCGCCCAAAACGCCTCAGAGGTTATTTTCGGCCGTCTAGGAAACAAAATTAATTGTTGTCTCCATCAGCCTCACCCCCTTTTGGATATTTATGAATCCGCAACTGGTAAAAAGACAGTAATAGATATAGTGTCCATCTGCTTGTGGCTAAGAACATTATCACTCAGAAACCAGTCACCGTTACAACCAGCAGTTTGATTAAAATATACACTGTTACCAACTGGTAAAAAATAGCAGACAGTAATAGATATAGTGTCCATCTGCTTGTGGCTAAGAACATTATCACTCAGAAACCAGTCACCGTTACAACCAGCAGTTTGATTAAAATATACACTGTTACCTATATATAAAACAATGTACTAACTTATAAAGAAATTATTGTCAAGTTATATCGGACACTATAGAAAATAGAAACCTAATGAATATTGTCCATTAGGCCTATATTTTGATAGTGAGTGCGTTAACGGTGTTTTCTTTTCCTTCTTGCTTTAATTTTTAGGGTCGAAGCACAGATTCTTTCAACGAAAAAATACAATGAATTTATTTGACCTACCGACATATGCCCGAAGAATTTCTGACAATTTAAGGCAGCATTTTAGACATATGACGTGATTCATCATACGTGTTATAATATTGTAAAAAAATGATTGATAACAGTTAAATAGTGTGCTGTGTGAAAGATATTAATCCACATAGGTCTACGTGAAGAAGCACTCAATTTATGATGCATTAAACTAATATTGAAATAAATGTGTTGCGTTTATTATATTTTTTAATAATTCTACTAATAAAGAGGTAAAATATATATCTGGATATTATTAACCACGTAAATTCGGCACTGGAGAGGATCTAGGAGTGTTCATAAGAGGGCTACCAAGAAAAAATTGCAGATGGTTTGATGGAAAAAAAGATAGATAATTAATCCAAGAAAAACCATGAAGCTCTTAGGTGGTCATTTAAAATATTCAACAATATGAAACTAACAAGTCTAGTTAAAATTAAAAGTTAAAATATATACTGCCACGTAAAACATCAAAGAATAAACTATCATATTAAATGAAATGAAATGAATAAGGCAAATAATTATTAACAAAAATGGATAATTATTCCAACAAAAACATAGAAGCTCTCAGGTAGTAAGAGATGTAAAATATGCTACAATAAGAAAATAAAAAGTCGGCTCCGACTTACTTAGTTAAAATATATACTGCCACCTAAAACAACAAAGTATAAATTAACTTATTCAATAAAATTAAATGAATAAGGCAATTAATAGTTAGAACAGCGCAACAGATTAACAACGTAAACACGATACTCACATTAAACGTTATTATGTTGATTGACCTTAGATACGAGCAGCAGAGCTCAAACCATGAATTGGCTTATTGTTAATTTAAAACAATAGCAGACGTTGTCATCTTTCAATAAGTCACAAATATAAGTTTTAAAACGATGAGACGTCGAGATATTTTTTTTCTTAAATCGACCACGTTGCATGTTAATAGGTCTACTTTTTGTTTCTACTTCTCGCTTGTCTGCAAATAGACACTTTGCTATAATCTATTTTTGTTACGTTTTCTTTTATTTCATTTCTAAAAACACACATAGAAACATATTTTTTTCCCGACGCAGCGGCAACAGATTGATAGAGTCAAAAAAACAAAACACGATTAAAGAAAGAGATAATAACAATAACAATAACAACGGTAATAATATTGATTTTCGACTGTTCTGATAATAATAATCACAACATAAAAAAAGGACAATTAATCAAAACTTTTATCAACATAACGATATAAGAGTAAATTCGGTTGGAGAAATGTTGGGACGGAATGGAGTAGGATGTGGATATATGAGGGCCATTAGAAATTGATAATAGACGGGTCACTGAACTATATAAATGCAAGTTTTTCTAAATCGGAAAATTACCGTGAAACACATGAACAATTTTCCTTTTCAATCACTAATGATACTACTAAAGGTAGACGAACTAAAAGTGCACTGATCGGTTTATATATAGGCCTAATTGTTGTGCGTCTCACTATGTCACGTTAGTTGAGTTGGTTTTCATGATTTTTTATTTCACAACTTTGTAGTAGCACTTTAATAGTATTATTATTTATCGTCTGTTATTACTTTATACTTTTTTAATGACTTTTTTTGAAAAATGTTGACATCCCCTCTCATATTATGGCAATGTGGAAAAGCCCTGCGTTCTGTTGTAATAACAGACTTAGTTCTAGTATCTAATTTTGTCTTTATCAGTGAAAACTATTAAAAATAACCTATTTTGGCACCAATGGCGTTCTATAATATACTCTTATGGGATTAGGTGTGGGCAAACCGTGAGAATTTCAGTTGGTGTGGCGAGAACTGTCCAGAATACGGGCTCCCTCTGTCCAGAATACAGGCTGTTTGGGGGCGCTGTTGTCCAGAATACGGCAGAGCCGTTTAGATAGAGAGAGTTTGGCCAACTCGGTTTTTCGGGATTCGATATACGCGCGTGTGATTGGGTGGATCGCAATCACATGACTTACACCGGTCATGTTGTCACCAAAACAAAACATTAAAGCTATACGCGCGCATGCGCCTGGGCTGTTTGGTAACGACATGGCGTCCATGCGCCAAGTTGGCCAACCTCTCTCTATCTACGGCTCTGGAATACGGGCTTTCTCTGTCCACTGCAATACGGGCTTTCTCTGTCCAGAATACGGGCTGTATGGTGGCGCTGTTGTCCAGAATAAGGACTTTCTTACGTCATATTCTATTTTTAGATTTTGGAACATCAGTGGAATGTAAACAGTAAAATAATAAAAAAAATAGCAAGCAAGAGTATGATAAATGGTAAATTTTACGATTTTCATGGATTTTCTAAGCTACAGTTGTAGGCCGACATTGCAGCGCGGCATATAGAAAACTCACGTTTGCCTGGGGGTCGTGACAAAGTGCGAGCCAGCGAGTCATGCGAGCCAATGCGCGAGCCAGCGAGCCATATGAGTCATACATTTTAAATCCTTTTTTTTTCACCGGGGAGCTTTGCCTGTGTAGTCCAGTCATGCGCAGTACATACACTTTTTCGAATCGTCTATCCGGAAGTATGCAGCGCTGATAGATGTTGTTAAAATACAGATATACAAATACATACCTACAGATATATTTATGTACTGTATTTATTGATATTGATATTTATATATATATATACAGTATATTTAAATTATTATATATATACTGTATATATTTATATATATATTTTTTATATTTATTTGTATATGTATACATATATATATATATTTATTTGTATATTTATTTATATATATATAGGCCTATGTATATATTTATTATATATTTATTTATATATTTATTTTTATATACTTATTTTTGTATATATATTTATTTATTTATTTATATATATAATGTATTATTGTTTTATATTATATACTGTAATTATTTATATATTTATTCATATATTTATTGATATATTTATTTGTATATATATTTATATATATTTATGTTTATATATGTATTTATATAATTATTTACATTTTTTAAATATTTTGTTTGTATATTTATTTGTATATTTATTTATATATATATTTATATATATTAATATGTTCATATATTTATTTATATATTTATATATATATATTTATATATATATTAATATGTTCATATATTTATTTATATATTTATATATATATTTATATATATATATTCATATGTATATTTATATATATATTAATAAGTTCATATATTTTTTTATATATTTATTTGTATATATATATATATTTATACATATATATATTTATTTATATATACTCTATTATTATATTATATATACTGTAATTATTCAAATATTCATTTAAATATTTATTTGTGTATATTTATATATATTTATATTTTATATTTATGCATTTATATACTTATTTGTTTATATATTAATCAATATATTAAT